AGTCCTACTGGACTCGCATCAGTAATGACTCTTGTCTTGGCATCTTTGTCGAAGTATGCAAGGGCTTTAGCTTCACTCAGCTTGGCTTTCAACTCATTGAAAGCATTCCTTTGCTCCTCTCCAAACTCAAATGGCACATCATTCTTCGTCAGCCGACGTAGTGCCTCTGTTATTGTKGCAAAGTTAGGTATAAACCGTGCATTGTAATTCACCAGTCCCAAGAAACTCCGCACTTCTGATGCACTTTCTGCCTTTCTCGCTTGAGTAACAGCTTTGACTTTCTCCTCAGTTGGCCCAATGCCATTCTTTGACAGAACGAATCCCATGAATTCAAGTTGAGTCATGTGAAATTTACACTCCTTTGCATTCAATGTTAATTAAGTTCTTTTCCTTCAAGACCTTGAGAACTTTCTCCAAGATTTGGTCATGTCCCTCCACTGTTTTAGCATGTATGATGATATCGTACGAATTATTAGCCGCTCCTTCACAGCCTTGTAGGGTTTGCTGGATGACATGCTGGTATATCTCTGGTGCTGCATATATGCCGAAAATTAATCTCTTGTACCTGTACAGGCCGCAATGCGTCACAAATGTCGCGATTTTAGGGCGGTCTTCGTTTTGGATATTTTTGGGGTGGGTTTGTCCAAAACGAAGACCCCATTAAAAATCCTTGAAACGTTCGTGTTTTGCTGTTAGTTATGTTCTGCGTGACATGATAACGCACTTTTGTAACGATTTTGAATTGATTTTGTTGGGGTCTTCGTTTTTGGGTCTTAGGCCTTAGGTCTTCGTTTTATGCCCACCCGTTTTCAAATACGTTACTTTGTCTTTTATAATTTCGAGATTTTTGTTTAGAACAGACAACGAATCAGTTTGCTGTATTAAAATGCTATTTCTTTCAATGCTTCATTTCGAGTTGGCTAAAGAAAACTTAAAGCATGTGGAAAACTTAAAGCATGTGGAATCTCAGATAAAGACCTTGTGGCCGTCTCTTGCTCTTTTATAAGATCGATATTAGAGTATGCCTCTGTAGTTTTTGCAAACCTTCCGCAGTATTTGTGCGATGCTTTAGAAAGAGTACAGAAAAGATCACTAGGGATTATTTTCGGTTATGATCTTAGGTACGAGGACGCCCTTGTGAGCGCGGGTTTAATGCCTCTCGAGGCGCGCCGTCATAGTGCATGTATATRGAGAGACATCAGGCATGGGAGTGTGTTATATCCCTTGGTGGATTTTCCAAATTTGTTTCTGTGAAATATGCAGGAAATTTATCGAAGATTATTGATTAATTATTTATTATTGTAATTAGCTGGACCTTCCGGCAATTCAGTTGTAAAACTGCAATCGGTTGAAATAAACAAGCATTATTATTATTGTAAAATGGTGGGAACTAGCGGTAAACTAGTGTGAGCTGCGTCGGTGTTTCTAAAGAAACAGTTGTGTAAAGAAGATAAGTTTAACACCGTAAAAAAGTATGGGAAATAACTTACTGACGTTTCGGATGTTAATCCTTCGTCGGAGTAAAGATGTTAAACTTATCTTCTTTACACAACCATTATTATTATTATTATTATTGTTATTGTTATTATTAGATAGATAAACCTTTATTAACTTATACCGCTCAGGGTAGCCCCATCAGATGCAAAAAGCAATCTGTTATCAATGGGA